TATATATACCAGCAAATATTATACATTTAATAATTATTTGTTTTAATTAATCACAAATTAATTAAAGATTGACCTAAATGGAATCAATAATTTTTTTTTTTTCTTTTAGAGCTTACAAATACACAAATTAAATATAATTTTATTGTTTTATTAGGCATAGGTAGCATCGAGCACGAAAAACAATACGTATATCTCTTGTAAAAAAATGGGAAGATATACCGAAAACAATGTCATACATATTTGCGTACGTACGTACAAGTAAGATGTACGGTACGGTGATTTACAATACCTTTCTTTATACATCTTAAGCATAAAAAAAAGAATCACGTGAAAGATTTTGAAAAGGTTACACAAACAAATGTGAACAATGTATGACACAATGAATGTAATGAATGATGGCACGACCAAGAAATTATATTAGAAAATAAGTTATCAAATAACATAGTTGAAGAGACGATATATAGAGAAAACCTGCATTTCTGTACGGACGAGTCTTTTGTGTCGCAGTGTCACCTGTTATAAATAGGCTTTAAACTAATTAATTAAGTATCCAACAATGGACTCAGCCATTTCTTTGGGTCAATACAAGTAACCGGATTGGTACAGACCAGTACAACATGCATTATTTATGTATTATTATTGTTTATCGCATGGTTGAACTTAATCCACACCCAAACCGTAATTAATTGAATGAGTCCCATAGCTTATGATCATGTATAAGTCCATGATCCTTCTTTTGGGCTTGCGAACAATCTTTGTGTTAACACAGTTCGGAAAGATAGTCACAATCCGGTTTACAAGTTACAAGTGTTACGATTAGTACTGATTGATTGCATTTCAGAAACTAATAAAAACGCCTTATTTATATAAAAATATGTATAATGCACATATTTATGTGTTTCAAAGAAAATTTACAACTCACCAAAGTAGGCAATAGGAATGTGTAATCAATAAAGTTTTGTTCAACCATGCATATATAGACCTTCGTTTGAGTTTTCTTTTTTCTTGTTGTTGTTTGGAAAATTAGGCCATTTTTTATATCCCTTTGTTCTTTCGTCTTTCGTCTTTAAAAATCTCAATGACAAGCAGAAATTCGGTATTTCAGTAAGTGTAATGAATTTTAGGAATTTGTTTGTTTTTTTTTTTCAAAAAACTTTAATTTCTGATGGCGTCATAATTTTTAAAGAAATTTCTTGAAAAAAGTTTTTATCCGAAGACGTAAAAAGACAAGAAGTCGTTTTAGTCGAAATAATAAACGCCAAAATGAAAGATTATCACATAATAATAATGCTACAAACAATGATAATAATACTTTTCGCATAAATAATATTTCTGTGAACAACGGAGATAAGAATTATCTTGCTCCGTTAAACTTTAATACTCCCGACCGAACAAGTAACGGGTTATGTCGGGATTGGCGCAGCGGCAATAAAGTTATCGACGACCTTATACAAGTGATCAGATTACAATACCCTCATCCAGCTCATAATTTAAATTGGATTCCATACGAAGAATTTGCGGATTGTGAGCATATCTCTGACGGAGGTTTCTCTACTATCTACAAAGCGACATGGACCACTTCTGGTCAAACTGTTGCATTGAAATCCTTAAATAATTCTCAAGATATAAGCATTAATTACTTAAATGAGGTTAATTATTATTATTTTATTATTATTATTATTATTATTATTATTATTATTATATATAAATATATTTTTCTTTTAATAATTAAGACAATTTTTTAATTATTATTATTTTTCTTTTTAGATTAAAGCGAACTGGGATTTATTTTCTCAACCTCAATTTCTGCATTGTCATGGTATCACTCAATCATCAAGCAGTGGTGATTTTATAATGGTTATGCAATATGCAAAATCAGGTGATTTACGTTTATACCTTCAACCTGATATCACGTCTAGTTGGAAAGATAAACTTCGAATCCTTCAACAAATCGCAAATGGCCTCGATGAATTACATAAAAGAGATCTTGTTCACGGAAATTTACATAGTGGTAATATCATGAACATTGATCAATCTCAATTTGTGATTGGCGATGTTGGATTGAGCGGACCAGCAAATGAACCAGCCTTCAGTGATGGAATTTATGGTGTTCTACCTTATGTCGCTCCTGAACTTCTTAAGGGACTTGACTATTCTGATAAATCTGATATTTACAGTTTTTCTATTATCATGTGGGAACTCTGTTCGGGTATGAGACCATTCAATAGTATTTCTCACAATCTCGATTTAGCTAAAGATATATGTGAGGGAAAAAGACCTCCAATTCCTACAGGAACTCCTCAACTTTATTCTGATCTTATGATGAAATGCTGGGATAATAATCCTAGTAATCGACCTGATGTCGCTGATATTTTAAAAACTGTTCATCACTGGTTGGTGAACGATTCGCTAGATGTCTTATTGCAAAAAGATGGCCTAGCATCTGCACACAACAACATATCCACTAATCCAACTCATCCGGATGCGGTATATCATAGTAGATTGTTAGACTTTCCCGAACTTCGTGGAACAACACGTCGACGACAATACCTCTCTTTGAATATTCCGCGTTCCGTACCCGAAGGTAGTTCTAATGACACCATTCAATTATCCCAACAACCAACACAACCTTCCCAAGATAATCCAAAACACTTGTTACTATCTGGAAATATATCTAATTCTTCAAAACCTTTCCGAAATACATATAATCATCCTCCAACTCACAAAGATGCCAGCCGAGATGCACAAGGTAAAATTTATATTCTAATTTTACTTTATTTATTTTTAATTTATTTATTTTTACTTTATTCATTTTTAATTAATTTTTAATTATTTTTTTTTTTTTTTAATTTAATTATTTAGTTAATTCCAAAATTAATCCTCGGGCTATTAACCCCAGAGGTAATATTATTTATTTATTTATTTACTTATTTATTCAATTTTACAAAATTATTGTTTTATATTTAATATTATCTTTATTTTATTATTGTAATTATTAATAGTTAAACCAAATGTAATTAGTGTGTTCATACCTGATGATGGTAAGTAAAGTCTGATATTCTAAATTTATTCTAATATCCTAAATTTATCCTAAATCTATTCTAATTATATTCTAAATAGATATTGAAACACTACAAAAATATTGGGCAATGGATTCAATGAGCTTTAATCTGAAAAAAATCGCAAATTATTCAAGTACATAAATATCACATAATATTATTTAATCATAAACTATGTTGATAATATTTCGTAGTAAATCCTTGTCTTTTGTTTGGTCTTAATTTAATACTTATGCAAAGTGTATATAATAATGTTCTTTGCTTGTATTAAAGATTTATTTTGGTATCTTTAATGCTGTTAGTATCTTTGGTGCCACTCTGGAACACTTGTATTTTTTATTTTTAAATTATGGAAAGATTTGAATATTTACTAGATATTTTTTTATCACGTTTATCAAGTGTACATACAGTCCTTTTTTTTCCCCCCTTTCTGAGTTTATTTAGGTATGTGATATTAATTACCTTAACCTTCCTTTTTTTGAAATTTATTTTTATTTATTTTTTTACTTCATTAAATTCGTGAATTATTTTAATTCTTATAATTGATTTATTTTAGGAAAAAATTTAAATCAATATAATTACATTTATTTATTCGTTTTATAGAAAAAATTTATAAAGCCAAAAATAGTATTTAAATTATAATTAAAGGTGTATTGTATTTGGGTTTGGTTTATACTTTTAGATTTTTTTTTAAAACATAAGCAAATAAAATTTTTATAAATTTTTTCAATTTAATTGATTTAAAAAATGGTTTTTTTTTTTTTTTTAAATTGAACTTTTCCAATATTTTAAAATATTGATATATAATAATTCATTACAAGTATATTTACGATATTTACTTGTTTTTATATTTATGATTCAATCAAAAGTATTCTTTTTTTGACAACATTTACTCTTCGTATTCTCCTTCCAACTACTTCCATCATTATAAATTTCTTTTTTCCAAATTGGTACTTTCTCTTTTAATGAATCAATTAACCATTCAACAGCTTTAAGAGATTCATTACGGTGAGCACTCGAAACCGCAATTATTACACTGGTTTCTCCAACTGGAACTGTACCTAATCGATGATAAACTGCTACTTTTATAAGTTGCCATTTTGTCCTAACTTCGTCAATTATAGATGAAATCTCTTTTTCAGCCATCGGAATATAAGATTCATACTCTAAATGAATTACTGTTTTGTCTAATCAAAAAAAAAAAAAAAAAAGTGTGATAAATGAAAATATTGTCGAGAATAGTTGAAAAAAAAAAAATAATTAAAAAAATATATTTTCCTTCAAACGTATTACGAGTTGTACCACAAAATGTTGAGATGGCTCCAGCTTGGTTATCTTTGACTAAGTCGACAATATTTTGAAGGATTAATGAGTCAGATGTCAATTTTATAAAGTCTTTTTCAATTTTTGCCATTGTTTCAAAAGTGTAATGCTAAAAGATTATCATAAAAACTGATCTAATTTATAAATTCAGTATAACACAAACGTGGTACGTAAAATTATAAAAGGAATCTCTATATATTTTGGATATTAATTATTAATCTATTGATAAGAATAGAGCGATTTTATATTATTTGAATATTCTTATAGAGACTAATGGAATTAGCCACAACGCTTTTCTGATCGTACAGTATAAACGAAGTCAGGGGTTCCAAAATTTCGAAAAGATTAATAGATTTAGGTGGATACAGAACATTTGTAAGTTCGAAATATATTCAATATTCGCAACTAAGCACAATAATACCTTCTCAAGTGTTACCTAGTTTGGTCCAAAGCATGGGACTTAGTGTTAAATAAGTGCACACTTCTATATTCTGCACTTGCAAAAGACTAATAGAGATTGGAACCGGTTATATATATATATTTTTTTACCTGGTTACAACTTTTATTAATCTTCAATTCTCAGTAATTGATCTGTGTTTTTCGAATTTTTTTTTTCAACCTTTTTTATCTTAAACAGATTATTATACTTGGATTTTTTGCTTTTTAGCAGGTTTTTTTTTTCAGATTTAGATTGTAATTCATTGTTTGTATTAGTATTAATACTAAAGGAAAAGTATAAAAATTGGTAACAAGAGGAGAAAGAAAAATAGTATTCTATTCTAATAGATTATTAAGCAAAGAGTAAGATAAAAGAAATAAAAGTATAATATGAGTAGAAATAAATAAAATAGAAAATAATATAGTTAGTATAGAAAACTTGAGAGTTGTTAACTAGCTAACATCAACAAAAGTAGAGTTAATAGAATTTTGATTAGTACTACGTACTAATATCACAATATAATACAATAGTTTGAGTTTTTATCAATAGTAAACAAGTAATAAAAAATATAACAAGAGCTTGTAATACTAAATAATATAGCAAATAGATTAGAATATACAATATGATAATTTTAGAAAAAATTGTATTACTAGTAAGATAAAAAAATAAAAAATTAGTTTTATAAAAATTAAAAATTATGCAAAAAATAAAAATAATAAAATGAAATAACTAGCAAAAAAAAGAAAAGTTTATATAGATTTAGATCTAAAAAAAGTTAATATTATTAATTATAATATTATATAAAAATTAAATAGAATTAAGAATTTAGTTAAATACTTTATAACAAAGTTAATAATAAAATATAATAATACAAAGTAAATTTACTTAAAAAAAGATAATTTGACTAAAGATTATAGCAAAGAATCAAAAAATAAAAAAAATAAACTACTTATTAATAAAAGATAACAACAATTTGATAATATAAATCAAATATTTAAATAATAGTTTTTTAATACTAAGTAAACTAAAGAAGCAGAAGTTAAAAGTATATAAAAGTGATTATTATATTTTATATAAAAAAGACCTTAACTACTTAATAAACTACTTAACTTTATAAAAATTATAAAAAGAAATAAAGAAACTATAGTAAAAAGTATTAGAAAACTCTAGAATAAAAAAAAAATATTTTAAAACTATTATAGAAAGTTAAAAAATCTTGTTTCTAAAAGAAAAAGAAAACAAATACTAAAAAAAAAAGAACTAATAATAGAACTTAAAAAAAAAACTTGTTAATATTAGTAAAGAAGAAAAATAAGATAAAGTTTTAAATAAATAATATTTTTTTTATTATATAAAGAAATTTTACAAAGTTTATATAGAATTTACTATATAAAAAAGTAAACAATAGTCTGGTTATCTAGTATAGTAGATAGATTGTCAGACTACTATACAATAGGTTTGAGTTCAAATCCTACTATTGAAAATTTGAATAATTTTTCAAATCTTATATCTAACTTATAGTAAACTCTGTTTGTTTTTGAGAGTTGTGATCTTATAAATTATATTATACTAATATTAATTAGATATTAGAAGTATAATAGAATGTTGAAGTTATATTATATAAATAAATCTTAATAGAATCTACAGACAGAGAATCTGTATGATAGAAATCCTAAGTTAGATAAAGTAATACAAATTTTAATAGTTATATTAGTTAATACTTAATCTAACAAAGAAGTTTGAGTATGAAGATATAGATCAAGTAGGTATGAGTAAATCTATGATATTGGGTATTATAACAATACTAACTTGGCTTAGTAACTAACTAGATTAGAAGAATCTGCTTCATGAAATATTTAAAAAATATAGAAGTCTGATCTGATAGAAGGCTATAGCAAAAACTAGGTTTATATAAACAATGAATAAAAGTATATACAAGCTAAATTAGGATATAATATAGCATAGTTAAGTATTATAATATCTATTTATTAGAAATATTGAAGTAGAACTTATCTGAGTAAAACTTAGATCTATAATAGTAAAGTTTATAATATATATTAGCTTAAGTACTTTCTAAAATAGAGTAGTACAAAGTTATAGTTAATTAAGTATAATACTTGTAGTAAGTAAAATAGAACTAGAGAGTTTAAATAGAAAATCTTTTAAAAGGTTTTAGATATAATAACTAGTATAAAACTTTTAAGTAGACTACTTAAATTAGATAACCTAAAATTATATATGTAGCTAGTTATACTTTTATAATATATATTATATTTCATAACTATAAAACTAATAAAAGTTAAGCTAATAGTATACTGGTCGAATGAATTTATACTAGTGATCTATTAGCATATCAATATTCTGATATGAGATTGATTTTAAACAGATATTTGGCTTGAATAGGATACCTTTTAGTAACAAATCAGATTTAAAAAAATCAATAGAGCTATTGGTATGCTGATATAGCTATTAGTTAAATATTGTAATAAACTAATATTTATCTGATAGTAATATTAGCATGCTGATAGCTCCATCTATATGCTAATAGCTCTATTAATTTTTTTAAATTTAATTTGTCACTGAAAGGTTTCCTATTCAAACCAAATATCTGTTTAAAATCAGTATTATATCAGGAATATCATTATGCTAATAGGTTATGATATTATACTGGTATAAATTTATTTAACTAGTAGTATTTGTATAAAGCAAAAAAAAAATTCATGACAATTATAAATATATAAAGATATATTACTATTAACTGAATCTTTTTTTGAACTGAATATTTTATATTATTATTTGTTATAGAATATACAATTCAAATATTAGAGCTAATACTATAAATATCATTTAAATTAAAATTTGTAGTTTCTATAATTTTATGAATCTGTTATTAGCATCTTATAAATTCATTTTGTTAACTTTTAATTCATTTAAGAAAGCTAAAAATTCTAAGTTTTGAAGTATTGTTTCTATATGAGCTGATTTATAGAATTGTAATTAGAGTTAGTATTTTTTTAAACTTTAAACCTAAATTATTTTAAACAAACTTAAGTATTAAAAATTATTTAGGTTTAAAGTTTAAAAAAATACTAACTCTAATTATAATTCCAAAAATCAGCTTATATGCTATAAGAAGATATACTTCACTATCAAGTTATTTTCTGATTATTCTCTTATATAAATATATTTTAACTTATAGTAAAATACTTTAATTAAGTTGTTTGTATCTATTATATCTTTAGAAATTCTTTTTAAATATATTATATACTTGTTATATTTTAGTTTTTACTAATATTCAAAATAATTAGCAAAGGTTTTTATTGTATTAATATTAAATTGTTATTATTTAATAATTGCTTTAGTAACTTGTTTTTTTACTTCTGTATTATCTTATTCTTTAGTTTTCATTAATTGCTAAAGATTATTTCAAATAATTACCTAATATTTATCAATATTAGTACCAAAATAATAATTTAGTTTTCTGCATTAAGATTTAAAAAAAATTGTTTTCAATATGAATATACTAAAAAAAAATTTTATTTTAATATACTAAATAAAAAAATTTTTTTAAAAATAATTTTAACTTAGTATATAAAAATAGTATAATAATACTATACTATTAGAAAATATTTTTTTAATAGCTTTTATTTTCTTTTCAGTATTATTAACTATAAAAATATTAAATTTCTATTCTTTATTTTTTTGTTTTAAGAAATTAAGCTACTTTATTAATATTGCTATTTTTTTATATTTACTAATTAAAAATGCAATTAGATATCTATTTCCTGCTATAGGATATTATATAATAAGTATAAAAAGGTAATAATTATATTTATTTATTTTGTAAGTACTGTTTAAGTATATAGAGTCTTTGCCTTAAAAATCAAGTTTAGATCATATTATTTATTATGTCTTATAAGATTATTTTCAAGTTATTTTCTTCTATTATTAACTAAAACTTTATTACTATATTTGTGTTATTTATCTAATCTGTAAAATCTGCAGAATCTGTATAATATTACTACACTAGCTATATGAATCTCTAAAAATATATTCTAGCAAATATGTTTATAAAATTTTAAATAAATATATTAATCAAATAAACTAAAATATACTGTTTTAGAGAAGGATTAAAATTTTAAAAACTCTTATCATAGATCACTTGTACCAAAACTTCCCAAAAACATTTTGCTATAACTAAATATTTTATTAAGTAAACAACCTTTAGGCT